CCCCAAAACCCCAAAACCCCAAAACCCCTGGAGGCTTAGTAAATATTGAGACTCAAAGTTCTATTTTAATATGAAAAATTTAAAACTTTGACTCATTATTTTGAACAAATTGCATTTATTGATTGAGTCCTTCCCGATGGTATGCTCCTCGTTGACTCTGTAGTCAGAGTAATGCAGGATTGGTGCCGCTCTTAGATCAGCCTGAGACACATTTAGAAGATGTAGCTGATTGTTTTCTTGAGTTTGCTTGATTTCTCTAGGTGCGATGGTGAAGACCATTCTGTGCATTCCCCATAAACTGAATCAACAGTGATAGATCTTCCAAGTAATTCTACATACTTCTTACTGACTGTGAGTCCAAGCCCACATCCATTTGGGTTGACTTTATTTGTATCTTCGAGCATTCCAAAGAGTCTGAACAGTTTGCTTTGGTTTTCTTGTTTGATTCCAGAGCCAGTGTCTTTGACTCTAAACTCAAGCAGCTGAGAACCATCAAGTTCTCTGGTGAAGTCGACCATTATTGAGATTGATCTTTCAAAAGTGAACTTGAGAGAATTAGATACCAAATTAAGCAATACCTGTCTGATCCTGTTTCTGTCTGAGTTCACTTTGCGCCTGTGAAGGCTTCAATGGCAGTCAATATATAGGTAAATATTCTAGTTGGTTCACTGAATGATAAAGAGAGATTGAACCTCTTTCAGAAGTTCTGGGATGTTAAATCTTCATGAGTGAGAGTGAAAGTACCATTGTCAATTCTAGATAAGTTCAAGATGTCTTCTACTAGAACCAGAAGTAATTTGGATGATATGTTTCCAGTTCTCAAAAACCTTTTAATACCATCAATGTGTTCGATGATGTTTGCACCATGTAGTTCTTGTAAAGAAATGTGATTTTCAATGAAGCTTTCCGAGTGGCCAAAACTCATACCAATGAAATTAAAAGAGTTCATAATCGCGTTGAGTGGAGTTCTGAACTCATGGCTCGAACTCGCAAACATCACTCTTTGCATCTTGATTCTGTTCTTGACTTCTTCTAATTTGATGATATCTGTTGTATCAATGAAGACATGTAAGAATAAAGGTCGGCCTTTCCGTTCAATTTCCAGAGACTTGATACTAAAATTCGTGCATTGAGTCTGAAGAATCTTCTTCTTTGCTAATTTCTTTGAGCTCTTCAAGACTTCTAAAGTTGCTGATACAATTCCTAACAATCAAGTTTGGAACCAAATCCAAATGATGAGCTTACCGAGAGTTGGCTCTTGGATACTCGATAACAATATCTTGCTTGTGTGGCTCTCTCTGACCTTCAAGAGTTTTCTGTCTTGTTTTAAGGTACTTCAGTAGACTTAGAGATTGTGTTTGAATTTCCTTCATACCTTTCTTATTTTCCACAGAAATTTGAACTTTTTGAGTCTCTGGACCTCACTGTCCAGCTGGTTTATTTTCCTGGTGGACTCATTGTTAGAGTATCAGTCAGAGCCATGCTTGAGGTCTTTTGGAAGGACCAACACAGAATGAAGAAACACTTTGAAAATACTTCTTTTTCTTCGACCATCATCTTGTTGTTCAGAATGATCGAGTACATTTTCTTGCAACGGAAATGCACCACTTTTGACCCATAGTAGAAATAAATGATTGTGATTGCAGAAGCTATCAGGTTGTTTTTATCTAGTTTCTCAGGTTCTGAGAGCATGACAAGCATGCCCCCAACTCCTAATGTAAAGATCATGTTGTTCATCACTCTTCTTGCTGGAAGACATATTGCTCAGTAGAAAAAGTAGCAGAAGTAAGAAGCTGTGTAGCAGTGATGGTGAGTCGCATGCTGCGATTTGAATCAAAAAGAATGAATCAAGATCCAGCCACATCACTCGAGTACAAATAATTTCTTTATAGTTTGGGTAGTAAGTTAGAATAAAGTAGAAGACCACTGAAAACTCATTAAATATTTCTCCTGAGATTAGCATGGCTAAATCTTCATCACTAGGATTTCCCTTTATAATCTAAAGCTTTAAGACAGATTTTCTTACAACTGCAAAATAATGGAATATTGAAACGAAAGGCAAGAGAAAGACTCCATATATAAATGGTTAAAATGAAACTAGGTAAGGTTGAGCCTATTTGTATACTTACTTGGCGAATAGTAGACAGTGAAGCTTCGCTCATCTGATCCATTTCATCTATGACTCACACTAAATTCTCACCTTGAGGCATAGCCTTTTTCAGCTTTTCGAATTCAGTATCGGCGGTCAGATATTTGAGCAGACTTTTTAGAAATCTCATATTTCTAATATTATTAAATCATTTCTGAAATGCCTTCCAGGGGTTTTGGGGTTTTGGGGTTTTGGGGTTTTGGGG